CGGGCACCTGGGACAGGATCTCCGAGGGCTTCCACCCACTGAACTTGCCGTGATCGCACGAGTCGATGGTGAATCCCGCATCGTTGACCACCTTGTAGTTCGACCGCAGCACCGCCGCCACCGTGGCCAACCCGCCCTTTTCCAGGTTCACGGCCGTCATGGTGCCTATACCGCCGCTGCCCACGAGGAGAACGCGGGCTTTTTCTGCCTTTTCTGCCATTTTTGACCAATTCTTCCCAGTCTCTTATTCCGTCGGTCGGTTGGATGTCGTCAGGGAGTCAGGTCGTCAGTTTGAGCCACACGGACGAGATACTGGCTGGAGATGGGAAGGTATTGTACAAAATTGTAGAATTTCTCGAGATGTACCCAGGTGCCATGTGCCAGGGCGTGCCAATGATTGGGAACATGATGGACGGTGACTTCCGCAGCGCTGGAGATGTCCGCTCTGCCCAATAATTAATGCCGAGGATTTCCGTCCGCAAAGGTCGAGCTCGTCTCTAGAGATTCAAACTACCACGATGCCTTTACCAGTCCCACCAGAATCTTTCGGGGGGTGAAGTAACGTGATTTGATTCTGGATTATGCGGCTAATCCGGCGTTGCAGTTGCATCATTCATCCCGGAACCGGCCCCTTGCAGCCAATGGCAACAAGAGGACCAGGACCATCCCGGGCCGGATGAGTCGCTTTGCTTCTCGCCTGGTTGGCTCCCTTTCATGCAGGTATATGTATTGCACACCGCTTTCGTTCGGGGGACTTTTGGATTCTTTGCTTGCTTCGCTTTTCTGGGTCTTTGCCTGTCTATCTTTTGCCTGTGTACTGCAGATATTCAAGATATCATATATCAAACCATCACATCACACAGCTTGCTTGTAGCGTCTTGTTTGAATCTTTGCCGCATCTCCTTCTTGTCTTGACTCTTGGACTAAGAGCCCAGCACGGCAAGGGCCCAAGGCTGTTGAATCCTTCCTGCACCTGGACCGGGCCACCGAAAGACAGAGGAAGAAGGACCCAGACCGAGAATCCAGTGTCGAAACCGGAACAGATCTCAGATACCCGTCGTAAACGTCAAGACCCAAGCAAAGACCCAGACGCGACACAAGACCCCAGCAGAAGTGCCTGGCCCTCCTCTGCCACAAGAATGACGACCCCCACGGCCCTCTTGGTGTGCGACGTGCAAAACGGCATCGTCGAGCGCATCCCCCTCGAGGCCCGGACCCCGTTCCTGCAGCGCCTCGCCGACACGATCGCCGCGGCACGCAACGCCGGAGTGACCATAATCTACGTGCGGGTGGCGTTCCGGGCCGGGTTGCCAGAGATATCACCGCGCAACGCGTCGTTTGCGCGGGTCAAAGCCCACGCTCAGGCCCTGGCCCAAGTCCACGGCGGCGCAGGAGGCGGCGGATTCGGCGAGAGTGACCCGTCAACGCAGATCCACGCCGCGGTCGCGCCGCTCGAGGGAGGGGGAGACATCGTCGTCACCAAGCGGCGCGTGTCGGCTCTGTATGGTACCGATCTAGACGTCATCCTCCGGAGCATGGATATCGGGACGCTGGTGATCGCCGGCATCAGCACGAGCGGCGTGGTCATGTCGACGGTGCGTCAGGGCGCGGACATGGACTACAAACTCATCGTGCTTGGAGATCTCTGCCTCGATATGGACGCGGAAATACACGATGCGGCGTTGAAGGTCATTGCGAAGCAGGCCGAGGTGGTCGGTTCGGTGGAGTGGGCAAAGAAGTTGTAATAGTCACTGCGAGTTTAGAAAAGCATGGAGATAACTGTCTTAAGGAGAGAGAGGGAGGAAGTGAGAGGGAGAGCATGCCGGTATATACTGCAAGGTATGTAGATACAAGCGCTGCCAACCACCCAATGAACCAACCAGATTGGCAATTCCTGCACTTCTGGATTTATGCCTCAAGGAAAGATATGGAATACTCCATCAATTCTATTGAGCATAGACTTGCAGATAGACCGCCCAGCTAACCTCGCTGCAGGAGTGTGTCGGTATTTGGTGTCGTGTCAGAAAGAACTCGATTTCGAAGAGGGAGAAAGCTTGGCGAGACGTGATTGGTCAAGACGCACAAGGCTGCAAGGCTGAACGCTTCCGCACTGAGGTGATTCAACGCATTGAGGTATTCAACCACCTTCTGCATTCATCACGCATCACGCACGAGACATATACACACGCACATTTAACCGTGGCGTTTTAATTCTATTGTGGCGAGAGAATCAAGTCCTTCAGACCTTACACGTTGTGTTCTGTTCAGCATGGCCGATGGCTGGTCACCATTGATCCTGTCTGCGCTTGTTCCATGTCCCTCGCGCGCACACCATTGTCTCGTTCCTTCTTCTCTTCCTCTGATAACTCCACGTCATTGTAGCAAAACTCAGCTCTTCTTGAATCATTGTAGTATCGGTAGAGTTCGATCGTCGTCGCTGTGGAGGCCGGCCATTTCGAGTTGGCGGGAAGGTGGTGGCGCCACGTCTTCCGGGTCGGCCCAACGTTACAGGACAGGACGTAGGTCATAATCAAAAGAGAGACACGATATGTGGTGTGTGAAGAGGATATAATGGGCGAGGTGACCGTCGTGATCATGGTCATGGGATTGAAATGGGGTAAATGTGCTCTGCGAGTCTTCCGAGAGGCCTCACGGATCTTGAACCGACCACCATCCACCAGCTGGGAGCAACCGGTTCCGGGATCGGGCTCTGTCCATGATCTCCGGAGTGATTTCGACACACGATGTGGAGAAGGCCTGCGGGAACCTCCGATAGTGCATCCCAGATGGACCTGCGGAGTGTTGTTCTCAACTGAGTATCTGCTTGTCTCTCGATACAAGCGGCATCAGCCTATTATCTTCTATTCAACATGTTGTGGCACCAAGCCATCATCCCAATTATCCGCCTCGATTTGGAAACGGTCCTTCGGCCGGGCTGTCGACCTCATCGAAGTCGCTGTTCTGCCAAAGGACGACGGCGCAGATGAAACGTTGGGAGCTGGAGGCGGGGAGCCAACAGAGCTCCTCGGCGAAGATGTGTGAGTCCGTGCTCACCAAACTGCGATTGATGGAGGTGGCGCAAAAAAGGGGGAAGACGGCGGCGCAAAGTTCTCTCAGCGGGAATGTGCCCCGGGGGGGGGGGGGGGGAAACGGGGAACTCGAGCAACAAGAAACGACGCTTCGTGCCGGCCTGTCGTCCATCAAGCCCGGAGGTTCTGCGTTAGCGTTTCCATCACTCCCAGAGGGAGTCGATGGGAATTCCACGAGTATTCTCTCACCTGCAGTGATGGGGTTGATACTTTCCGGCCGAGGGCTTAGGCAAGTGGCCGTAGAGCGGCCTTGTCGCTACACATCTTGACGCCTACCCCATAATCCACAAAGGACGTCTGGCGGGCGAATGCTCGCAGGGCGTTGAGGGCTGCAGCGACATCCAGTCCATTTTTGAGGGGATGTCTTCGTGCCATTGACGATGTGACTGACGGTGTCGATATCTTGACGCGGCGAGAGTTCGACGGGCGCAGGCTGAAGCCGCACTAGTCTGAAAGGGGCGGTGACGTAAACCTCGGTAAACATTCCAAATTTGTCGAGTATCAATATCACGTCCTGAGACTCATGTTGGTTACTACGGGAGGGTATTCCACGTCGATTCATTTCTGCTTCACACCTGTTGTTAGATACAGTACCTTCTTTGATCATCAACTCGCGAATTTTCGCTCAATAGGCCTCTCGGAGTCTCGGAGAGGAATTTCCTGCCTGCGAGAGCGATGAGAAGTATTTTCCAAAAAGTGCAAGACACGCTATTGAACTATTCTGGTCCAGATCCATTCTTCCCTACCACGGGTCCCTGGTTGACCGAGTCCTGATAACGATGTTGTCAACATCCTCTGGACCGCAGGACACGTCGCACAGAAAAGCGCTCTCGATTGAGCCGCATTTTTCAGTCTTCTGTCGACTTGTTCTCTGCTGTTGCTCGGCCTGACTCGGTACAGGTCTAGGAAGTGGTATTCAGTGTCGAAGGATCCCGATCATCAACTGCCGAAGAGAATATGTAACCGCAGCTAACAAACGCCTTGGTCGATGTCTGCTTTACGGCCTTGCGGCGACCAGGCATGCAAACGTGACCAACTTGCCAAGACCAGAATTCTGAATCTCTGAAACTGCGGCAACTGGTCATGCAATACTAGATCGACAGGGAGATCATACGTCTGCTTCTACCAAGGTTGAAGCTCTCTTGTTTATTTCAATCGATGACACATAGTCGCGTCGTCCACTAGCCCTTACCGCCATTCGCGTCCTACGTTCCTCCAAGAAGCATCTTGTCCTTCGCCTTCTTCCTTGTCTCTGCATCGAGCATGGCAGGTCTCGGGACTTCACGGCGGTGAAGACAACCCAACCGATTCCGACCCCGCAAGTGAAACTGCGCTCTTCGATAGAATGGAGTTACATATATCGTGGTGCAGAAGCTCGGCGGAAAGAGCATAGCAATCGCGCGGCAGTCTTTGTCAAATCCTCCTCCGCTTCCAAGTGCACATCCTCGAGAACGCTATCGATGAAGGCATTGGGAAAAGAGATGGCCAGCGTGGGCGGAGCACATTGTAGGATTGCAGGTAACCATGTGGAATACAGCGTTGTGGTCCAGTCAGCGATAGCGATCACTTCCATTTCTTCCTCCGCGGTGGTGTCGACAAAGCGCCGCCGGAACTCCCAGAGATCGAAAAGACGCTAAAGTACTAAGAGTAGGAATGGATTCCGCCTGTATTTAGTCATGATACTTGAATGGCTTGTGTATCCTGGTGCACGGAGACTATAGTCGGCATCTTTGATCGGGGAGCTGTGGCTGGCGGCCACAGCACTGGGAGTACACAACTGCGCGTCAAATCAATCCAGACCCTCTATCTTGGGCTGGATGCGTCGAAACTCTCTCAGGCCCGAAGGTTGAAGCTCCGGGAATGGAGAAGGCGAGGCCGCGGCAGTGGGAGGAATTCTCTGTAGTTGGCCTCTCAAGAACTTATCTCTTTGCGCTCCAGAAGGTCGTAGGTTGGAATCTTCTCTAGATCATACCGTGTAGAGAACCGTCCGGCCGATTTCTTCTGGTTGCAGTACTCCATGGCTGCTTTCCGAACAGTATCCCATGCAATGACGCTTGTTCCGAGAGCAGCTTTGTCCTTGCCCACAAGCTCCAAAGCATCCTTCAGCCACGCCACGCAGTTCCAGTCCTTCGCCCCGTCTTTCACAGGGGTTTGGCACAAGATCGCATCAAGACGGGACGGGTCGTTGACTTTGTCGATCAAAACCCGCACTAACAACATGTTGGTTGGTCGGAGAGGCACAGTTCCCTTTTCAAACTCCCAATGTATCCCGTCTTGGGTCACCTTGTTTTTCCATGGTATCGTACGCCGTCCTTGTCCGGCTCTTCCACCTTAGGGCCGATCTGAAAGCCCAATGATAGCTATTCCGGCGGAAGTTGCTAAGTAATCTACTGCCGGAGATGGAGTGCTCGAATCTCACTCACGTATCTTCCAGGTCACGCATTCTTGGCTGTCCTCCTCTTGCATGAAGACAAACGTATAGGCGATCTTTGTTGGATATTTTCGTTGTGATTTTCGAATTGAACCTCCTCTTCTATCCGCAGAATCACCGATGTGCGCTAATGGACGAGGTACAGAGGCGGAGAGGAATTGGAGGTGGTGGCTCAGCAAACACTTTGAGGGAGGAGCTGCGGAGGGCATTTCTCGTAGACTAAATCCGGGTCAAGAGAGAACGACGGATTAAGGAGTTCGACATATCAACCAAGGTCTCATTCAGACGCTCAGGCAAGGACAATGCGTTGTGCTTTTTGCCGACGAGGAACAATGTCACGATCGATCGCAGGCAATGTTTTCTCGTGCCGCGAGGCTACGTCATTAACCTCGCGGCGTCACTACACTAGTGTCAGAATACTTATCAGGGAAACTTAGCCGCTCATCACCGTGTCGGCAAACCTCCCTTGTTGACGTCTCGCCGGCGATGTAACCTGCGGGCTGCGGGCTGCGGGCGCAGTCGAGACAACGCAGACAACCTACCATGACATTCACAATGCGCTTCAAAAATAGTTCTCTATTCTCCTCATACAGCAGCATATCTCGGCACTGCCGAAAGTTTGCAACAGCCCCTTCGTGGTTTCTCGACTTCCGCCCCCTTCCTCTTCTCGCCTTGCGGCCACTGTGTACCGACTTCAACTTACACCAGAATCGGATCTCGTTCCCTATGTAGAGAACGATATAGTCAACGGCAGCGTTCTGGTGTCAGGCGATGGTCTAGTGTACCCAAGAGTGTCCCAAGGAAGGCCAAGCCTGTATCGACGATGTGATTTACTCGCCACTTGCGCACTGACATTTCTCCAGCGTTTAATGGACCTCTGTTCGGGCCCAACACTCTCTTGATGTAACATATATGGAGAGATGCTTTTGATCAATACTGCGAAGAGGACGAGACTAGCGGGCCTGTACTTATCAGCATCAAAAAAGGGACTCTCCGATGATACTACACGGAGACAAAACTGACATCGTTCTCCAGGGACAATTCTCCCTTCACCTCTCCTCGCCTTCTATGACTATCCTCAACTATTTGCGCTCCCATCGTTGCGTCCGATGAAGCTACACGGTTGACATTACCTTTGCCTACTCTCCATACACTCCTAAATATCCCTACGGAATTCAATACTGTCCTCAGCTAGTTTTATGCGACCTATGCGACAATCTTTGATGCTGAAGAGTGGATCAAAAAGAAAGATTACAGCAGTGCTGCAGCAAATAGGGATTCGGATCGATGGCAAGCTTGAAGAAGAGTGATTTGCATTGGAGAACAACGAGTTTACGTGTTATTTTGCACCAAAGCTTCTTGATTTTCCCGTGAATATCCACAAGCACTGAGCACTGCAGCAGTGGTATTGGGGTTCATTTCCAACCATATCTGACGATCGCATCGCGTTCCAGCGGTCTTGAGGGAACAGCGCCACATGCCGCGAATGGCGCAGGTTATGATTTTTCCGTTGCTGAAGGATATTTCTCCTGCCATCCTGCTCTCGTCATACTCTGAGCTTTGGTGGTAAGAAAACTATCGATCTTCGCGTTCAGTTCTGCGGGTATCAGCCCCGGCCTACCATGGGAGGACGAAAAAAGAAACCTGTAAGGGTCATCTCTCGCGCTGGCTGCAACGAGTGGACAAGAACAAGGTCACCTGGCAATTTTGTGTCTGGCATTGGTTAGACCTCCTTAAGCTGGGATTTCAGACTGTGACGCACCAAACCTTTGGGGATGGTGTAGACAAGAACATTCCTGCCTATGTAATTCTCCACGAAACGTTGTAGATGACGAGTGTTGGGGCGCATCGAGGCACCATTGGGTACTTCGGCTCCTCAGTAAGACAGCATACATCATAATGATTCAGTCTCGCCTTGCGAAGTCTCAGGATCTCTAAAGTCCTTCAATTTGGCCTTCCCCGCTTCGGTCAATGCAATTGTTCGCTGTGGCGGCACTGGCATCAGTGGACTAGTGAGAAGTGGCCTTGACTCGCCTGAGAGAAGAAATTCGCAGCCTAGATCTTTGTGCTGCCAAACCAGGACGAAGATCTCAAGAATTGACCAGATTGTCTAGCGGACAATTGGTAACAAATGCCCAACACAGACGACATTTCAAACCTGACTCGGCATGGGCGAATGGCGCCTGGTGTATTTATACTTCGGGGCGCACAGCTGATCCAACTTGAGCACGCGAACAGGCCAGCGAAAGCATGGTTGTCGAGAATGTGTCAAAGGAGGACAAAGGCGCACAGCGGTTCGCGGTGTGAAGACAATCGTCTCTCATCACGTGATATGATGCCGCCGAGCGGCGCTAATGACGTCCCCTTAGATTTCCTTCCCGCTGAGTGGCCCCAGAGGTTGAGGTTCCCAAGTGACAACACAGGGCTGCCGCTGGGCATCAGGGCGGGTCGGAAATATGTATGAGGTAGGTACAATTAAATAATTGATAGGTTAGTGTTGATAATGTTCACGTACCTTGACAATCAAAAACACAGATATTCACGGCGGTGGCTGGCCAAGGCCTGTGCCAGACACACTAAGGGTAGAGCCGGGTGGCGGGCGATGATCTTCTTCAGGACTGACACCCTGCCTGACTTGATTCATGTGCCCCAACAGTCCGAAATACTATTCGTCCTTCCCTCTTCCACTAGAGGCCTTGGGTGTCAGACTTTGAAGCCCAATGGAAGCTTGGGCCCGACGGTGCTAAATAACAAGCCCAACCAATTTGCCGGTTTACCCGACCCGTGGGTCTGGTGGTTGTGCTGGTCTGGCTCCCCTTTCTTCACATCTCAACCCCCCCCGATCCACTTGGGGTGCCACAACCTTTCGTTAAATCGTAGTTAATGCTGACCACCCCATCACACCATTACAAACTTCACTTCATCGCTGCATGATTTTTCAACCTTCTCTTCCCACTGTTATCGAGCCCAATTCATCAATTCGAGTGATCCAACTCTTCAACCATCTCATCTGTCCATGTGAACCCCTCAAGCAGACCGCAGAGCCGACTCACACCTCCCCCTGCTCCGTGTTACTCCATAAATCAGACTACGCCTCCTCGCGTCCCTCGAAACAGACCTCTCCCGCCTGACCATCAGCCACACTTGCCCGAATGGCTGGTCTCACTTTGATGATTTGGATCCCTTGGAGCTATGGGCAGTCGATCGAGCTCCAACGGAGTCCGTTCACCTTCTCAGACCTCGTCGTGGACGATTCCTTACCGCCGCTTGTTGGATCTCATGCATATGTGATAACGAGATGCTGATGTTCATTCAAGTGAAAGCCTCTCTGGTCAGAATACTCCCAAACCCTCCCCTGTATCCCTTCCCGCGATGCAAAACTCCGATCCCGTTATTGGCTCTTCACGGCGCATTGCATCCCTGCCACAGCTGTGTCTCAATCGCGATCGCTGCATATGCGTGATCCCACGCAGGTTTGATCTCGACGAAGCGGAGACGCGCAGGGGAAGACACGAGCTATAGCTCACAAGACGTTGATGGATATCTATTCCGCAATACCAGATCTAAAGACTTGGAGGATGTGAAGTGCCATACATTCTTCCTCACTCCCTTCTGATATCGCTGACCGCTGGTCTCTTGCTATCCGTCATGCCATTGCGCGGATTCTCTATCGAAGCGGTACAGGAGGGTACATTGATCGTATCATTCGAGAAATGAAAGAGGTAGGTGTGGAAGAGACGACGCATCAACCGAACTCAGACTCTTCCCGAGGCTGAAGCCAGGTAGGTGGCTGGAAGGAGTTCCAGTTTGCCGACATTGTTGGAGAATCACTGACACATTTGTGTCAATGTGACTGCTTTTGACATGGAGTGTCGCGAGATGTGTTTCTCTTCTGGTGACTACTTTGCCCTTGAGCCGACTTGTGTGTCAGGCACGACCTTCCACGTCCACGTCGACTCTGATCATCACTACAGTTGCCGTTCACGTTTCAAGAGAACGAGAATCACTCTCGCTCTTGGGTGGCTTTGAGAGGGTACGGGGTCGGTCCGAGCCAAACGTCCTCCAACCGGGACTGATGCTTTCAAAAATATATCATCCAGCGCGTGGACGCTTTCCGAGACCCCAACCCGGTCTTGATCATGGGTTTTCGACGTCGAGAGCTCAGATGGACGCAACGTCACAGTCGATATCAGGTTTGTGAAGGCGCTCTTGATACACATCGTGAGATGGACTCGCCTTTCTCCAGGAAGATCAGATCCTGCACCGCGTCAGCAAACCAGCCAGTGTGCTGCTCACAAATGCGAGTCCGCTGCAGCAGAAACCTTGTCTGATAATGCCCATCCATGTCACGACTTCGTTCCGCCGCTTTCCACGTGACGGCGGTCCCCAACCCGGATCCGACGCCTCCAGCGATCCCGGCTTGCTCTGTTCTTGCCGAGTCCAAGTACTCGGAACCATGATCAGGTTGGTGCGATGCGTTTTGGCCAATGATACTTGCGAGACAGGATTATCTTGATGATTGCAGCCTGCTGCAGGTAGGTTGTGTGCGGGCACGTGACCGCCATCTTTCGGCTTCAATTGTTGAGCGCCCAGCCTTGATGCCAAGACACGCCTTTCCCAAACAATCCAAGCGCAAAACGCAAAACACATCCCATCTCAACAACCGACCTCCCTACTGCAGGGCTACACCACGTCATTCTCGCTACCGGAGTCTCCGCCTATCGCTCAAGACACGATGGACAACGTATTGGCAGACGTCCGCTGGGTGAAAGAGCGGGTTGACAGGCTCGCGACGATGGTGGACATGGAGATGTCTTCGGCCAAGGCCACACCGCACAAAACGAACTGGACCGAATACCGCACCCTGATAGGAGAGCTAGAGGACGGCCTGCAGCATGTAGAGAGGCGGGCTGAAGTCTGTGCTACCCACGGGGAAGCTGGAGCTGCATCCGCTGCCCCTCCACCTCAAACACCGACGCCAGATTACGCCCCGGCTGATAGTCCACCTTCAAGCGAGAATCGCCATTCCGAAGTCCTACCATCGACGTCAGATGACGCCCCAGACGAAGGCCCATCCTCAAGCGAGACGCGCCCTGCTGAAATCCTCCCGTCGAGGTCAGACAACGCCTCAGATGAAGGCCCCCCTTCAAGCGAGACTCGTCCTGCTGAAATTCCACCTTCCACGGCAGGTGAAAGGCCAAACCAGTGTCACGATTTATGCGACGGCGTCATAATAATAGAGCAAAGAGCCAGGGAGATTGTGACACGCACTCAAAAGACGTCTACGCTGAGCAGCCAAGCGCCTAATGCAGGGGCAACGACAGCTCCCCCTTCTCAGCCCGATCAACCTCCGCCTGGAACCACGATTCCTCATCGGGAAGAGGACGGAGTTATCGTCCTTTTGCCCAGCCCCGAGCAGTGTAAGGATCTGCCATTGCTTATATCCCGGGCTAAGGAACTGGGCGCCTACGACACCGGAGTTTTCAAGTACGTATTACCGGACGCTGTGGTGAGAGGCTTGCGGCCTATCCTCAACCACCCTCCGGGTGTGTCCAAATTCAAGTCCCGGCCTTACAACAAGCATTCCCGTTACATTGCACGGAGCGAACGAGAAGATGAGGTGTTGGATCTCGGCGAACTTGACTTCACACCCATACCGCATGATGAGTATGTCGAGACATTGGAGCGCCGTGTTACCGACCGTCAGGCTATGGATAAAATGCAGTACTTGACCGATCTTGCGGCTTGGACACCCGGAGATCGAGAAAATCTCGGTTTGCCACCCATTTCGCCCATCTATCCCCTTCAACACAACGAACTCGATCGCACGAGAAGATTCATCGCCGGGGTTCATGCTCCGTATGGGTATATATCGGGTGGCAACGGATCACTCTTCTCTTCGCACCGTGAAGACGGCTACCTGCTGTCTCTCAACGCGTTGTATGAGGGTCTGAAGCTCTGGTATATAGTGGCTCGAATGCATAGCCACCTCATCGAAGAAGCTGTTAAGAAAAGGAAATGTATGCAAAAGGTGCGGCATGCCTCTCTCTGGTTTTCGACATCACAGCTCAAAGCCATGGGTGTCTCGTTTGTCACTGTGGTACAGCGTCCAAACGAGGTCGTTGTGGTGTCTGGAGATATATACCACCACGGAGGTACCCTTGGCTATTCTCGTGCCGAGGCGGTGAACTATGCTCCCCCCGGTTGGAGCATTGACGGCTACTCTGAATGCAAACGCAAGTGTCCTGGATTTCCTATTCCCAATGAGTACTTGGAGTTCCGCGCCCCAGGCGAGATACAGCTTGGATTGCCTCTTGCGGACGAAGAAGACGAACCTGAGTCAAACGAGAATTTGAGGTCTCCCCAAAAAAGACGCAGAGGTCCAGCGTCTGCTGCAAGCTCAGGCGGCAAAAGGAGATGTACTGCCGCTGGTTCGAATCTCCCCGCTCAGAAGGTAGCTGAGACGACTCCAATCTTACAGATGGCAAAGTCCATCTGTAGTTCGGCGGCAGTCGAGCAGTTGTTCAAAGTCGTTCGCGGCAGCCGGCTCTTTGGACTCGCGGTGCTACGAAAGATGAGAGGCAGCAATGCTTAGTTTTTACCGGAACGCTGCACAGACAGTTCGTTCCTTGTCGGATGAAAACGCTTACTCTGGATTTACTTTGCGACTATCCAAACTCCGTGTGGTTTAACATCCCGACTTGTTGAAGGACGGCCGTGGGAGACTTCGGAGTGGCCTCGTTCCAAAGCTGGCCAAGGAACTGGGGCTGCAACCACGCTAGTATCGTTATCATTAAATAAACAGCTAAAAATGGGCAGACTACCGTACGAGGTTTCACGGTATTCCCTACTTTATCCTCTTTTATACTCTGCCGTTTAGGTTCTCTTCAATAGACTAGGAGTCTCTCAAAGATGAATCAATTTGGCTCTCTATAACGTCATCTAAACGCCATGCACGTCGCCGTCCCAAGATACTGCCTCGCATTCGGATATACGAGGGCAAGGGCCGAGGTCTGGAAGCCGTCGCGGAAGAAGTCCGGCGAGCTCGCATACCACAAAGGGTGATCATATCGGGCCGCATCTCTGGAGAACTGGTTCCCCTCGGCACCCACCTCAACGGATGGTGTCCGGTATTGACGAGATATGATCTCGTCGCCTCCGTGTCGAGGTTGTCGTCCTCAACCTCGAGAGGATTAGCGACATCTTTCCGGCTGATGAATCATGACCTCGACCCAACAGTCAAGCTCCGTCGGCAGGAGGGTCGGGGGAAAGTATAGGCTGGAAGTGCACGCTGCGAGGGACATCTATGATGGGGAGGAACTCACCCGCAATCGCAACTGAGCATGCCCAAGCATGAGGATGAGGATGAGGATGAGGGCACGTGATTCAACGCCACTGGATGTCATCATGTCACGTGGCAGGCACTTCCGATGTTTGGCCGCCAGAGTGAAGCGCTCCCCTTTGCCCTCCAGGAGGATATGCCGTTCGACGATTCCGCCAGGACATGCTGTTGGGAGACTCGTCACGGACATGGTGTTGAACGATGGATTGCTCCGCGGGTTATGTGCATGCTCATACTGATGCTCATGCTGATTTGCCGTCCGCCTGCTGTCCACTTTCAAAACTTCAGAGTCCAGACATCGTTGGACACAGGGTGGAAGTTTCTGTCCTTGCTGGGACTATTTGTGGCAGTTTCACTACAAAATTTTTAAGATAATGATTGTAAATCAGTGCTAATAGACCACTTTGATGAATGTTTTATCTGAGATTCTCTGCCTCCCCTTCCCGGGTAGCTATATATGTACCCAAGTACGTGAAAAGCATTCCGAGTATCTGGATGTGTGTGCAGTAACCCCCTCAGGACGTCAATTATCATCAATCGTGTATGTCTTTTGAAGCCTGCCTCGTTTTCTTCCTCCTCTCGTCCTCGGAACATGTCCCGGCTTTTCCAGAACCCGGTTAGTCGATATCAAGTCGTTGGTCTGGCCTCGAATTCATTCATTCGTCCCTTTTGAAACTGAAAACAAATGAAAAGAAAAGAACGTTCTTCTGGCGAGTTTCACTCACTTTATTCGTCTTGGAATGGATAGATGTCCTTGCAAGACTCGCGTGCCCTGGGGGTCCTTTTGGGGTCCTTGCAAGCAAGACGCGCAAGGCATGAGATAATGCATCTTCAATAATGCATACCTACCTACAGTAGTGGCACCATGTACCTCCATCTAGCACCAGTGGCGGCACTATTCGTGGTAGGCTGGTAGCACAGCAGCTGATTATGTAGCCCGGCTACCTTCACATCGAGCCCCCCTTTCCTATTAATGCAGCCTGATGATAGGTATCAAGGACTGCGGCGCTCGGAATTAACCCTTCCTCTGCGTACAAGCATGAGTTTGGCAGTCGTAGGTGTCTATTTCACGGCAGCTGGGTAAGATAGGTTGGATCGATTGGGAACCTTGTCGAGGAGATAGATACATGATGTAATATATATATATATATATATCCCTCAAGGCATCAGAAATACCTGACCGACTCCATCGCCATCACTGATTCTGATTGGTTTCTTCTTCTTCTTCCTCGCCCCCATTCCCTCCCCTGTGTCATGGGGACTCACTGGTAGGGCGTCGTGTCAAGCCAAGGCTGATAGATGAATCTCCCCTGAATCGATTCGATGGCGGTTTGGAAGAAGCTCTACAGTCAAAAGGGTTGAATGCTCTCTGTGCCGACGACGAGTGCTTCATGAGCGTCACTCTTCAGTGCTTCCATCTCAATATACCGTCCACGCCAGCATCCCTCGACAGTGGTCCGGCAGAAAAGGTTCTCTGTCGCAGGCAATTCTTACGGAGTCGGCCACCGCATGTCGTGTTCTCTGTCGAAAAAGTAATATGGATGTACGCGCCAGACAGCGATCGAGTAGAAGAAGACCCAGCCAAGATGGAGAATGTCTATTCCCGCTGTCAAATCATTGCCGCAGACCGTGTCCATATCTGTCGACATAGTTATCAGTATAGACTGGCCAAAATTTGCCAGTTTGAGCTGTCCATCGCTGACCAAGATGTTCCGGAGGGCAATGTCGCCCACCAAGACTCTCCGGGAATGGATGTAAGAGAGTGTATCGATGACGAATGGAATCCAGCCAGCCTCAAGGGCTCCGGCGGCTCAGGCGCAGATTTGATGTAGTCTTCCAGGGCTCGCCCTGTTTTGCGAAAGCCAACTCGATCCCATAGTTTGACGTCTGGACGCACGATACGGCTCCCTTACAGTGGCCCAGCCGTCTGTAGATGGCGACCTCGTTCTCGAGTGTCTTGCGGTTGACCTCGTTTATATACTCCGTGTCATCAGAGACCGGCGTTCCGACATGATAGTCCAGCGAGGATGTCTTTGCCACCTTGGCGACTCGGTCCTCATCGAGCCGGTGGATGTAGCCCGTAACCCCGTAGGCGGTCATTGGGAGGTCAGTGTAGGGATTCGACTCGTAGATCAAGTGCGGCTATGGGTCGGGGCTTGTGGTCGTGGTGGTCATATCGGCAGGGAGGGTGACAGTATGCTTTGCAATAGAAGGAGGTGAGGGATGGCGTTGGCCGGTGTATCGGTGGACTTTACTGATACAAGACTCGCACCGTAGACATTGGAATCGGAAGAAGGGGGCGTGGACCATTGGTCATGGCACACAGCGCGGACGAATTCGAGGCTGTGGGGGTTGGCGGAGCTTGATATTCTGCGTAAGGTGTAACAGACTTGGACGAAGTGTCAGTAAAGGTAGATAGAATATGAGAATTGCGAGCGGAATGGGAGCAGAGGGCGTCTATATCGACAGTTGTCCTTCTGGGCAGGACATGTCGCGCAGGAGGGCTACGAGCCTGGTGTCAAAACATGAGTGGCAGTCTGACGAGAAATAACAACCAGGAGCGGATGCCCCATCACTACCTAGTGACTAGCTGAATTCTGACAAGGCGTCTACTCTCGGTCAGTCTGCGCTATTTTATTTCCTCCTTCAGCTCCTGCAAATGCTCCCACCACCCGTTCCATCATCTGCCGAATCGAACTCGTCCAGCTCGAGCCGCACAAGGAAGCAAAGTGACGCCAAAAGCATACTTGCGTCTAGCACAGCGTCAGCGTCACGCTTCTCGAGGAGGACTAAGCAAGAGATTTTTGAGCGGAATGGAGGCATGAAATGCTGGCATTACGGTCGGTCAGCGCCAGATATTGCTCGTGTGATAGGCAAGAGGGACAACTCGGTATGTCGTCGCAAGCAGGGCAAGGGGATACTATCGCCTGGGTCACCAGTGATTCATCTAGTTGGCTGACTTTCAATAGCTCAGCCACGATACTGCCTCCGGTCTCTTGACCTTTGATCGTCTCGGAGATGAGCAAAACGGTCTTCCTCTCTGTCCCTCGTGCCACCGAGCGCTTGACGATATCAACCAACCGGGCTTCGTTTTCATTTTTACGGAGCTAGAATTTTTCATCGATTTTGAGCGCCAGGACTATCAGAATCGAATTGATACTGCGCAACAGCAAGGAGATATTCCTCCACGAATGGTTCCCACACCACAGATGTATTCAGAATATCTCAAGAGACAAGAGCTCGTGTCTTCTCACGCGGTCGGCGGCCTATACCGGCGGTATACCATGCAGGACTTCTTCCCCGACTGTTGTGTCATCCCAGGGTCGGATCATTTCAAAGAGCCAGGTCTTTGGTGTGGTGCACCGATGGCCGCCCTCAGACGTATCTTCCAAATCATCGGTGACCGAATTCCGGAATCCCAACTGGACCAACTATGGACGCTACACAAGCTCTACGCCCGAGAGGTCACCCACATGAAGCTACATGATTCTACGCAACAAAGTGCAGAGCAGATTGAAGGAGGACTGAGAGACAGCGGAACTCCCTCCAGTTCCCAAACCGTCGCACCTGTGCATGCCAACTCAGGAATAGTTCCTCCAAGAGGTTATAACAATGGGAATAATACTCCGATACCCGATGCTGGCGCGAGAGGCGCAATGGCAAAGCTAGCGAGATGTGATTCGACACAGGTTGGCGACACACACACACACACACAAGCCCTGGGCTTCTGAGATTCGGTCGTGGCGCTTTCATCAAGACTAACATCCAGCGATACATGACGATGATAATGCAATGCTGGCAGCCACCACACCGATCGGATCGGTTATCATTGACATGGGTGGCCCCCGAACCCGCAACTCTGACCTCTTCGAGGATGCCTGCGATGATGCTAACCGGGTCCTCGGGGCCGTCCATTTCGAGTGTCTCCATCGGGGCACTCCCCTCCTCTGGTTCCACCGCGTTCTCTCCACCACCCACAGCCGGGTGGCAGAAAATCTGCCCATACGGGCCAGAATTGCGATAGCCTGATTGGGCCCAGGGTTGAAATGTGAGGGCGGGTAGGAGTGGCTCGGTTGGGGGCAGACCGAGGTCGGAACGCGTCGGAGGAAAGTATCGACTAGATCAAGGAAATCTATCTAGCGCGTCTGCGGATTTGTCGTGTGCCGCGGTGGAAATTATTCGGCTAACCTTCCCGATAGGGTTAGGGTAACCGTCACAACAAGAATGACCCTTCTCAGGACATGCCCACTGGGGCCAAGGAGGAATCTTCTAATTGCCCGAAGGGCATTCAGTGCGGCCGTTCCCGTAGGAAAGCCGTAGCGCCCCGTTGACAGGCACGAAATTGTTGCCCTAACCCTAATCTGGAAGGTTAGCCGAATAGTTTCCACTATGTAGAGATCCTTGCCTAATCAATCAAGTTATTCCACTTACAGAAATCGCAATCGTTCGGCAGCGATGGTCAACTGCGCATTGCATCGCATGGTTATATGTTGCTCGAAGCTGCTGGCGACGTGCTGGTTCATCGTCGCCCCCGAAGATCGGCGGGACAGCGTGAATGAGGACCCTGGCTGCAAGATCGTGGGAGGTAGATGGCTCCGGAACGATCCCACGCACCAAGCAGGCCCGTTACATTTCTTTCAGCCTTGACGCCCGTCGCCGATAAGTGGTCCGATTCTATCCCGGCGCCAGCTCGATCTCCACTTGGAGTGGAATGGCATTCGGGAATACCCTATGACAGACATCTACGAATGGGACGATGGCTGGACAACGAGATTGCAATGTTAGAGGCCGTCGATATTACGACCAGCATCCGCTAAACACCGGCCTATGTACATATCTTAACGTGCGATTTTTTATCCAGGCTCTATAAACCCTTGATCAGAGCCGAGTTATCGAGCTTAGAGTAACATGTTGATCGATGCCGGAATCTCGAATCCTACTGCATGACTATGGCTTGGAGTGTCGACCACCCTACTTCGGAACCCCTGTCACGGATCTTCAAGTGCTTCATCGATTAGAAGTCGTCCAGTGTCGAACCGGCATTCGGGGCTCTGCCACAAGACCTGACTCTGAGACTCTACCTTGATCAGCCCGATAAGCCGACATATGCTGATAGCGTGGCATGCGCGAGAGCTTTCGATCGATACATGGGAAACCTATTTCTTACACTTGGCTCGCGTGCAATCCGTAGATGGACGCCTTCTCCGCCTGTTATCAATACTCGCGTCGAACATGGAACGATGGTGCTGTTGCGTTTCGACATGATCCTGGTCAAGACTTCATACGAGCGGGAAGACTGGGGGCCCAGTGGGAAGTGTCCCTTCGCGATGCTGGGCGCCTCCGCTCATGAACGCAAGTACCGATACTTCGTTACGGTCCACAGGCTACGTCAATAAGTGGCAGACTATCTCACCACCTCGTCCGATGGCTAGATACCCGCATAGGTCTAGAGCGTGGATCAACTGCAGCACAAGCGCCTCTATTCCAATGTGGCACAAGCCATAATGAGTGCTGGGGACTCGGGCTACGACGAAGCGATCAAGACCGAAAAGGCATTACGGGCAATCTGGCCGTTCGATATATATAGCCAAATATAGGTTCAAGGTGCCAGCCATCACGTTACTATGTATATACCGATCAACCTTGTTCGTCCTATCGCGAGTATACCCATCAATGGCTTCCCAAGGCTAGGAGGACGAAGGAGGCCCGCCGTGTAGCCTTGTACCGGTGGCTAGGAGATGCCGCTTTGAACGGACCCCAGCAGCCACAGTGGCTGTCACGATGTTGCATCCGGAACGCCAATCAGAAATGTCGTGTCCGTAGCTGAGTACAGGGCGGCGTCAGACCCCTCATCCTAATTCGGGGCGAGGTGCAGGCAGTTTGTATACACACCTCTTAGTAGTGTACGTTGAGAACGAATACTAGACTGCAACAATCTCCTTTTATATCGTGGGACTTTGTTCGACCCTTGACTCGCAAGATCACTGCTCCTCCAAAGACCTTGATGCATTCATTATCCGATATTTGTGTCCCCGGAACGCCTGAGCGCTCTCCTTCTCCCGGTCCACCATCCACAGATCCACAACCTCGACGAATGGAGCAGGCTCCTATGAGCTCCTGCCTCGCAAACCAGAGCGGCAGGTCACAGAGTGGCGAAGGACATGACTCCTCAGGACTGTCGAGACGCAGGTTTCGTGTGGGCAACTTTGGGGAAAATAGGTATTTTGGTCTGAAGGGGCTCCGAAGCTTCGCAGGGAAAGAACGCAGCTCTGGTGTCCCTTTGACATACTGAATATGAGATACGGCCTTCATCGTGGCCTTGGAGACTTGGACTGATCCGCGAGTGAGCCTGTCCCTGACCGATGCGGCTGCTGCTGCTGCAACCAGTCGGATATCGGGGTCTGAGGAGGCGCCGTCTCCGTGCTGATCGGTTGAACCAGTCCTCGACCGCTGCCGCTGCTTCTCCTCCTACTACTACTCCTCCTCCTCCTCCTCCTCCTCGGCGGAAACCGAAGAACGAGAGGAGCAAGAGCAACAGGGACAAGAGGAACAAGAAAAAGGCCCGGATCCAGGGGCCATAACGCCGCTGAGCGGCAATATATTACACATCCAGATCTATCCAGCGAGTGAAGACCCCTCCAAAGATTCGATGCCACCACGGCCCGCATCTCCTCGCATACCTCCCGCGAGTCGCAGAACCGCACGCTCTGTAGGTCGGACGCGATGACCAGATTCCGCGGATGAAGGTGTCGAATGGCAGGAAAGGACTGCTCTGCCGTGGATCGCACTCAGGCCTTGGACGGCGGACAATAATCTCGGCTGGAGAGCCTCGTCTTGACAGGGAGAGGCTGCTCCTGATGGGTGCTTGGATCTATCATCGATCCAGCGAGCCTCGCTTCATCCGCTCGCAGCTTGATCCCGCGCGGTGTCGCCGCGAGACATTCAAATCACGTGTGGACAGCCTTGGAGCAGCGATACACAATTTCTTTTTCGTTCTTGATGCCCTCCTATGCCGGGTGCGACTCGATCGTGGTTCGTGATAGGTTCGGGAGGGAGGACCGGAAATCCGCGGGATCTTTCAGGACAAAGTCGGGATACTCGAGGATCAGACAGCTGCGGCTGTGCTGGAGAGGAACAGGCAAGTTGAGATTTGTCCCGTCCGTGCAGAGAAAGGACAGGTCGGCGGCGGCGGCGGCGGTGGTGGTATCCATGGTCTGTCCATCCATTCATCCATTCCTTCATTTACATTGAATTGTATTGCAGTTCCAGACACTGAAACTGATATATATATGGGACAAGAAAGAACAATGAGTGAGAGGTGAAGAGGGGAGAGGTTGATCAAAGGGATTACCCACCGAGCAGGATCGCCAGCGGACGGGAATTTTGTGCCAGTATCTGTCGACATGGCTCGTGGCCGTCACGACCACCCACCCACCAGGGATCGAGGCCGAGGACGGCTCGGGTAAGGGATGGGTGTTGACGGACATGCTGATATCGCAGTACGCGCTGAGGAAGAGGCGAGTGATCTTCAAGCCCATGTCACGAGTGCTCAATCTGTCAGAAACACATATATAATACCAAAGTACGTGTCTGAAAAGAGACGAGTCACACCTGATGGCATTCCTTGAGTACTCGTCTGTCAGAAATTCATAAAGAGGCAAACGATAGACCCGGACTGGCCTTCCAGCACCAAGCGGGTCGCCTTTTGTCCTGCTGACATTGCATCGCGCACACGCAGAAATGCGACGTTGTGAGATTTAGCAGATGGTGTATCGAATCTGCGCAGTAAGATGCGTGTGTGATAGTCAAGTGCCAACGTGAGCGTACCGACCGAGTAACACCACAAGGCTGGATAGTATCGACAGAGCACCGCGTTGCGGACACCTAGCCGTAGGGAAAGAAGTAGAACACAGAAAGGTCCGGGACCAACAAAAGAAAACGAGGGCAGAACTAATTGCGTGCATGGATTGTCCATCTTGTCTGTCGTTGCGTTATTGTGCGATTATGTTCTGTGGAAAAGTGTTGGACACCGCCGAAGCCCTTTGGAAATTGAACATACTCGGCCCTTTGTTGCCTCGTCTTCTTCAGACAATCATGTCTCCCACGTTGCCGGTTCGGCTTCCGTGTACCTCGTACCCCAGCACAATACGTGAGAGGTGTGAGTGTTTACGACATTGTGACTGCCAGGGTAACAACGTGCATTTCAACGGGGAAGTAATTGATTTCCAAACAGACGGGTGACGATGCTGGCGAGAAGCAACAGAAAGACAATACAAAGATCTTGTTGTTGATCAAGGGTCGTCGTTTGGCACTCTGGTAGACTCCCCCTTTAACCACAGAGGCCCCCGGTGATCTCTACTCGACCGCCTGCCTCCGTGGATGAGAAGGGAGCCCACCGGAGTGCCAATTGGCTATAGTGATGATTGAATCACAGCGATTTGACGGGATTTAAAGCTCCCACTATGGAAGAAAGAGCAACAGTAAAAAGCCCGTGGCGGGAAAGACAAGCGAAAAGCTTCACCATGGAGGGAAATGCCGTATTCGGTCCGCAGATAGACGCGAGGAACGACGTGTGCGAAGGGGAAGCGTGCGCTCGCACTGAGAGCGCCTCAATACAACCTGAAAGATGGCAAGACTGCATTGCATGGCTAGGTTATCTTCCGTCATGACACGCCACCACGTCACGGTGAGGCGGAAGCCCCTGTGCCTACCTTACCACGAAGGCACGCATCTTGACCATTAACAATCCACCTATATATCTAGATCTACTGACAAGCGAAAATAAACAATCCAGAGAATATACCTAAAGATCTGGGTCATCAGCGTGGCGTAGATAATGCGGCCTTTGGTGTTTGGGTGGACAATAACGTCACGCCAATGCCAAGTCTTTGCTCTTGGCCACCACGCTCCCTAGGAGGAGGGAAGAGGGATCGGAAAACCCATCATCCCGCGGTCAGCGAACCGCTGCTTTCACTTTGGGGTGCCAAGATCTCGACCGGGTGCAGGCAGTACGAGGTACGAGATACCTGTATTCAAATTTGACGGTAGTAGTTTAGCCACCCGGCCACGTGAGACGCTGCTCTGCTCTGATCGCGTCCCCGAATGACCGAGCCAGCTGTATCTCCGAGGAGAAAAGCCGTCATGGGAAAGCGGCCAGCGACCAGCCTTCTCAGGACCATCGTTTCAAAATGCATGTGATGGAGAATGGCAACCTCGGTCGGCTGAGAGTATCTCTTGCGCCATGACCCTGATCGACAAACCCCCCGGCTAAACCTTGTGCATCCAGAGCTAAAGTTGGTTGAATGGGGTATCATCGTATAATCTTAATGTGGCCATCCCAGTAGTGAGTCGATTTCAGCTCTGAGGGGGTAAAAGGAAACGTTGACAACTGAACTCGCCCCCCAAGTAACACATCTGGCCCATGTCGGGACCGATTGTAGAAGATAAACAAGGCATCTTGGATAGCTGCCGGGGCCCAAAATGGCACTCGAGCTTGTGAGAGACAACGTGGTAAGATGTGGAGAGGCGAGGAGAGCGGGGGTGGGGGGTGGGTGCCTCAAGGGTTGAGTTCAACTCTCAAACAGACAAGCCTTTTCGACCCACGGCACTTACTTGTCATGTGTATCTAGACCGAGACAACAACAGAGTCAACGTCATTAGTGATGCCGATATGTGCTCGAGCCTTTCAGCCGCTCCGTGATGCGAGCCGCCAATCACTCTTTGAATCTGTAATAGACATCCCAAATCATGTAGCGACAGAACCCAGACCTTCCAGTATATTCTGGGGGGCTAGGGAAATTTGGAATCGCTGGGTGGGTAACAATGAGCTTGAGCAACGTGCTGGTGACGCTGGGGGGAACATACCTTGCTGACCGTAGCCACTGAAGCCGGACAGAGTGGGGAGCAAACACCGGCTAGGGGGAAACCGCAATGTTGTCCAGGGCCGTCGCCCACATTTCGCTACAGCACAATACTAGGACTGGGTTTGAGCGATGCTTCCCAACAAGTCCAAGTGTAAACGACCAGAGAGTTCATAATATACCACTTTGTGAGAAAACGGAGAAGCGCCGAGTGCCGATACCTATCCAGGCCAGTTGGTCCGTGAGTTCAACCCCCTTTCCAAGCTCCTGACCGGACATGAGTGGACTGAGCTCTATTCTTTCCACAAGCCAGTGAATTCCAGCTCTCAAAGTCAAATGCGGCATCATATATTGTAGAGCGTTCACTCGCAAAAGAGAGTCTTTGTCTCCCCGGACCGTGGAGAGATCCTGGCGGTATATCCCCTTCGCAGGATGATTGATCTGATTCAAGGATAGTTTCCCGTGACTTTTGTGCCATGTAGGGTATAGGTAGAGACCACATGTCAAAGTTTGTCTGCTCCGAGGTCATGTGTACTCACCGCCGAGCAGACACGGTCCAGTCAATGTTGAGCAAAAGTCAATGGTGTGGATGGTTTGTTAGCGCCAGTTCCTGTTTGGGTAACGTGGCTTGGCAACTCCATATCTGGCTCAGCCAATAGAAGCCATGCCAAGTCTCATAGTCTGACCACACACGTGTTGTTATTGGACGCGAGTTCCCTAGTTAGGCATTGAGGGCTGGAGGAGTTCTGACACTGCGCTATCAGAGGGTGTTTGCGGCAAGGTGAGCGTTGCTGGCGAGGTCGACAGCGAGGTCAAGACCCTAGCATTCCCTCTGCAACAGTCGAGTATAGCCGTTGACTACCTGGGACTTCTTTATGCGCGGGTTCAAATGGTTTCGCCGCCACGGCTGTGCCCCTGACGCCCTGAGCCTTGAAGGTTGTGGGACAAGCAGCCGATGAGGATGACCACGCTGCAACAACTGCGCACTCTCAGTTGGAACAGATTGTTGTATGAGCATTGTGGGTGCTCTGCCTTTTATGCCTTCTGACCGTGAGCAAAGAATTGACTTCTCCGCCGAGTTCTGCGTGCGACAACAGGCGTCTGCGGAGCTTGCCAGAAGAACAAAGCAGAAGTATGACCACTCTTCCACCTCTTGATGGAAGTGAGTATTGACAACTTTTCAAGAATGGGTTTCTGCCCTAGCGTTCAAACTCCACGGCTCCATCCTCACGCTTGACGCCGCCGACCTTACCGCCGCCTGAGCCCTCCTCTTGTCTCACATCAAGATGACTTCCCCGTCCATCAAGCCTCGAGTTGACCCCTCTCCCAGGTCCGGGAGACGCTCAGGATCAACAGTTCTGATCCCAGCACCTTCAAGGGCTGTACTCTCAGAGTCCTCATGAACATTGTGAGAGCCATTCTGATTCAGACCGAGCCACAAGACCCTCGTCTCGGCGGACGTGCCTGCACGTGGGCAATCCCCCCTGTTTCAAACGACACTCGACATGTGCACCGATTCGGAGTCATTTCCTCGTCGTGTGAGTCGACGCGAGATTAAAGAAGGGATTTTGGAGAGACTGCGTCGGGTCCGGCGAACGTGGCAGAGCGCAGGGAAACGAACAATCTGCTCGAAATGGGGGAGATTCCGATCTGCGGCAAGTTAGCAGTCGTCTTCAGAGTGTTTCATAGACAGTAGTGACCTGAAAGAGAGAATTACTGGTATTCGAAGCATCCACGCGCTCCCTGCGCCACAATAGTGAGGAACTTCAAGCAAGAGAAAGGGCGACGGCTATACAGGTCAGCGATCAGGAGTTCGGTATCCTCGTAGAGCGTTATGCAGTGATTGCCAGACAACCCAAGTGAATGCTTCGTCTTCATCTGATAAGAGAAGCCATGTAATCCCGATAGAGACACGCGGCGGCAAGGAAAGGTCAGACGGCTCCCTTCCCGGATCTTCGATGCCGTGGTCTTGATTGACAACAAAGGACGAAGACGGATTCCGCAGGCATATCAAGCCATGAGACTGCAGGTGTATGTATTTGATCAGAACAAGACTGAGCACTGGGACCTTCGATATCGAAGCCAGGGTAGCATTGCGTATTATGTGGCACGCCAGCCTGCCTGGTAATTATGAGGAAGTTGGCAGCTTGCTTGGCACTCCTGTTTCTGTTGTTGTAGGCCAGGTCGGGGGCTGGCCTGTCAAGGTGGCAGACAGATCAATACCTGGACATCTTCCTCCTTTTTCCTCCTCCCACCGAGAAGAAGACCAATACCCTGCAATTTCCCGGACGCACAGCTGCGTATATCTGCCTCTGAATATATTCCGCTCTTACCCAGACTCTATCCCACAGTCCCTATTCTTCCCAGCCTCATATCGCTACATTGGCTATCGGAAATGCTTGCCACCTGGAAGATTCAGCGCTGCGGGAGAGCCTGCAAGCCCTGCAGAAAAATCAGACACAAAGTATGAACACTATTCGCCCCTTTGATGAGACGAGATGTTGATACTCTAACAGTGCAGCGGTGGCGAACCTTGTGAGAGTTGCGTGAGGAAGGAGATCATTGACACATGCGGTTATGAAGTTCCCGTGAGCTTAATACCTCAGAATCATGGGAGACGACGCGATTGACCATCATTTTAGTGTAGTACCAGCAAAGACAACGACCCGCTTGGAGAC